TTTATGGGGGCTTCTCTTGATGAATTAGCTTCAATTTTAGCAGAATCAGAAAAGCAAATTTTACAAAGGGAATTTCAAAATTTAGATGAAGATAAATTCAAATTATTAACACAGAAAGGAGTTTTCTGTTACGATTACATTGATTCTTTGAAAAAATTAAATGAAACGACTTTGCCCTAAAAAATTTTACAATAAATTAAACGATGAAAGTGTAAGTGACGAAAAGTATGCTCATGCGCAATCTGTTTGGCAACAGTTTAATATTAAAACATTAGGAGAGTATTCTGATATATATTTAAAAACAGATATTCTGCTTCTTGCCGACGTTTTTGAGCAATTGCGTAAAAAATGTTTCTCCACCTATGGTCTGGATCCTGCGTGGTACTATACAATGCCCGGATATACGTGGGACTGTATGCTCAAATACACTGGGTGTAAGTTAGAACTACTAAAGGATCTGGATGTGATGTTTTACGAAAATGCTATAAGAGGTGGAATTTCGGTGTGTAGCAACCGATTTTCGGAGGCCAACAATAAATATATGCCCGAATATGATCCTGAAAAGCCGTCCAAGTACCTTATGTACCTGGATGTAAATAACCTATATGGGGATGCTATGCAGCAACCATCGACTTTGAAACAAGGATAGACCCAGCAAGTCATTCATAAAACTACATTAGATTCGTTGACTACATAAACAAAGCACAAAGTGATGGCGAGGGGCTATGAGGGAATGAGAGGGGAACAATAAAATGGCCGCCGCATGAGAATTCAGGTTGTGAAACCTCACGTCACTGAAGACTCTATGTATAATCATTGGTACAATTACACATAGGCGTAGCATACAATACGTATAAGGGTGACAAAATAAGCGTATTTAAATCAAGAGCATCACAAAAAAAAACGGTACGAAGTTGTGTACTAACAAATATATTACTCATATTTGTGCAATATCTAGTTCAATTGGAATACTTACGTGAACTCTATTGAGTGGGCAGGATACAAAAGCCTTTAAAATAGAAACTCCAAGTTATTATGTTCTATTTTTATTCATATATATATATATATATATATATATATATATATATATATATATATATATATATATATATATATATGTAGATTCTGATGGATCGGTCCTCCACTCATGGGCTTTTTAGAGTCGATAGGTCCTCCGCTCTGATAGGTCCTCCGTATAAGGAGGACCTATCGCAAATTCCACCTATCGGCCCCTCAGGCCCCCCTCTGTCACCTGGCAAAATTTCAGAGGGATGACCTAGATCATGTTTTTCGCCGAATTTGGGTACCGTAGTTCAGGGTTTTGCCGCGCCGATTTGGTGGACTCACGATCGCTTGGGTATTCAGCCCGTATATTATCAAATATTACCAGTCAGGTCTACAGTGGATCGGTCATCTGCCGGGTATTCAGTATCCAGATTATCGCTTTTAGATCCTCCTTAATATTGGCATCGCTGTATTAGGTATTTTATTATATTTGCTGTGTTAGAGGATCGGCTTTTCACCTTTCTATGTCTGGTGCGGCCCAGTTCGCCGTCAGGCATTATAATAGGGGCGTCCGTGACCGAGAGTACCGTAATGCAGCAATAATATATTTGTTCGATTACTATCATTATTAATATAATTATGATTACGATTATGGTTGTGATTATGATTATGATTACGATTATTATTACTAGTTTTCGGAAAAAAATGTTTTTCCAATCAGGTTTTAGACTCATAACAAGTCGATTTGACATAAGTCACCTCTATGCAAAAGTGCTTCGTTTATTTGCCAACTAGATTTTTACGCTTGATGTGTTAAAACATTTTTTTAGAAACCAGCCCCAAAAAAGGTTTTTTTTTCTCGAAAACTATGAAAGATATCTCGTTTTAATGAGAGACAAAGGATGGAATAAATAAAAAAATCGGTCATGAGGAAAGTTGGGAAAAATTCTGCTACAATTTATGTAGGTGTGGGGGTAGTTTTCACCCTTCCAAAAAGCTCTGGAGTTTTTCGTAAAAGGCAAATATTAGAACGCTGAGCAGAGCATATGTGTTCCAAATTTCATTAAAATCGACCTACCGGCTTTTGAAATATCTTGGAAAACGTGTTTTTAAAAGAAAACTTTGATGCCCCCTAACGAAGCACCTTCGAATACAGATAACTTATGTGCAATCGACTTGTTCTCAGTCTGAAAATAACTAGTAATCTCACGTCCATGGAATATTGGGTCACGATGTGTACAATACATGATTATATGAACAAAGAGCAAAGTTTAGCGTAAAGCTACTCAAGCTAAATTAAAAAGGGTAATATAGATAGACCATTATGCAAATACAACCACATGAATAGAAAATCAAGGATGGTGTAGTATTAAGGAAAAATGTTCACAAAAAAACACTCTCAAATATGATAAAGGTGATGCTCAAATCCAATTTCCTATAGAATAAAATAAAAACAAATATGCTAATCCTAGTTTTACAATTTAAAAAATATGCTTTTACTTACCGCGCCTATTGGCAGGGAATTAATGTAATCACAAAAAATTCGCTTTAGCTGCAGTGGTTGCAGAGTGGTCAACAAACGAAGAGAAAATTGCATAAACTTCGCTTTCGGACAATGACCTACATTTTTCAACATTTTGTGCTTTGACAACCACGCGGTTATAGGAGCGAAGGATAAACGCAAATAATATCGGTATGAATTTTATTTACGAAAATACATAAGAAGAAAACTGAATTTATACATTGACAAAATGAAACTACTAAAAAATGCTTATACTTAGTTTGTGATACATATGTTCATACTTAATTTCTACTTTATTAAAAAAACGGGTTCGCTCATAAATTGAGATGGTATTCATTTTTTCTTTCGGTACTGGTTCTGGATGAAAACTTTGATTTTTAGCCAGTCCTTATTATGTAATAATTCAGTATGACTTGCGATGAGGTTATCGCATTCAGCCTTTTTTGGGGCCCTCTTAGATTTAATGTGATTTCCAAAGTGAACCAAGACTAAATTTTTCTGATCTTCAGTCCAAGGAACTAGAACCCTGGACTTTTTCTTTGGTAACGTTATATCCACTTGCTGAGATTCCGGATCTGGATGCGGTTCTTGGATATCTTCATATTGGCATAGAGGCTCTGGGTGGTTATCATCCTGCTGCGCTTCTGATATCAAATTCTCGTCTAGATTCAAATTAATTTCGTCCAGGGATTTTCCTTTGAAATGACCTGCCTCGCCCTTCTCCATCAACGTCAAAATCTTGGAGAGTCTAGCCGTTTGGTAGACGTCATCTGGTAATCGGTATGATGCACGGTGGATACCTAGTGTATGTCCCATAAAAGATGCGAGTTGTTCCATGTCATTTTCTGACATGTTGAACAATTGAGTCAAGGTTGCCAAGTGCTTTCTCAGACGGGTGCTAGTCAGAGCATGCGGATTTTTCGCTTGACATAACGACGCATACTTTTTGATTACCTTGTAACCAATAATGGGTTCTTGGGAGTTAGGTTTACCGAAAAGATATATGTTCGACACCGTCTGAATATTATCTCTACACTCTAGTATTAGATTCAAGTGATCCTGTACATCCTTGCTTATAAGAACTGGAACACCTCTGCCTCTTTTTCCACGGATTACTATTCGTTTGAAAGATCTCATTAGAATTCTCTCGGTTTCTGTTATTGCTTCTGAAAACTCCTCATAGGCTTGATTGTGTTCCTCAGATATAGCGGATTTGTAAACATGTATGGGAAGTCGTTGTAGTTCTCCAGGCCGCCTCCTATTTAATAAAAGCAACCTACAATAAACTGTCTCGAGTAAAGACGTGTATGCTTTTTCATTGCTTGGATTTTTTTGTAGCATTGATACCTGATTTGCAGCTACTTTCATGAGGTAATCCTTCAATAGTTTGAGATCAGTAGCTAACGGTACCAAAGTGACCTTATTCCATTTTTTTAGGTTGAGGTCATTAGCAGCATTGGTTGAAATATCGAATCGCCAATTTGCCTCTATGAGTTGGATGCATGTTTTTATATCTGCCTCAACGTTTGCATTATCTACTGTTGGCAGTGACTTAGATTTTTTTAGAACGTGTAAAAGAGCCACATCGCAACATTGTTTTAAGGTTGTACCCATGTTCATAGCATATGTGGGGGATTTATAAGTTTGGCTTTCGTCATCATATCCTGATGTTAATTTAGTTGCTTTCACAAGTATGTCATATTTGTGTGGTTTTAGAGCATCAAATAGGGTAACCACAGACAAATCTAATTTTTTTATCTCCATTAGAAGTCGAGCCAATTCTCTCATTTTCCTAGAAACGACTTGGACAAAATGTAGCTCCCTATGGAGTTTCAGATATCGGGAAGCAAACGCACATATTAATTTATCATTTTTCGCAACCAATGAAACTTTGTCAGGTCTCATGCGAGGAAATACTTTTACTTTGAGCTCAATATCTACCTTTATATTACCCAATAACAGAGTTTGTCCTAAAGCCTGTGATCGTTTGCCCGACGATCCCTTCTCCGGGTTTGCATCACATTGTTTGCGATGACGCCATAAGTTCTTTGCAGAATAGTAACCCATACAGTGGATGCATGGAAGATATTCCGTTTTTTCCGCACCTTTTCTAACAGGTTTTATCCCCTCTCCCCTCAAAGGCGTAGAGTTGATAAATTTACCCTTTTTCCTTAGAGCAAAAAGCAGTTGTTGCCTTTTACGGCTTAAAACAGGTAAAGCTAGAAATTCTTGTACCTCAATTTCATTCGTATGGTTTCTTTTCAAATGACGTGGAAAATGAAAAACCTCACATTCACAAAAACAACAGAAAACTGTAACTTTTTTCTTCTTTCCTGACAGTCCAGTATTCACTGATGAAGAACCAGACTGACTGGGTGCAGACTGATCACATTCTGCGGTGGGAATTGATTCAGCTTTTGCATGTATAGTAACATTCTTCTTGACACTTGCCGAATGTAAGTTGTCTCTGGCCTCATCGCTCCTGTCCAGTTCCTCGTCCTTTCAAAAGAAAAATAAATATAAATACAATAAATGCATAAGCATCGCGACAGGTGGACAGTACTTATACTTATCATTGGAGGCGTATCAAATGAAATGTTCAGTGAATAGTGTTAGTATTGACGTTCAATTTTGTATGTTGTTTCATTGATCAATTCATAAAATATCATGCCGTCTATGCTAAGGAATGACCATTGTTTTTCAACCACATTTCCCTCTTTCGTCTCTGGCCTTCTCTCACTTGCCAAGCAATAAGCGGAGAACCTTATCCTGAGCAAAGTTGTTCCAGTAAAAATAGATTTTATTATACCTATTTGGAAAAATGGCATCAAGCAGGCTGACTCTATACTTCCTACGCCTTCAAGATGGCTCTTAGTGCAATTTCCAATATAGTGCAATTGAATCTATTAATCTGCTGTCAAAAATAGTGGTTACAATTTGAATTCAAAGTTTTTACTTATAGATGATATCTAAGGTTTAGGTGATATTTAAGGGCATCAAAATCACTCCTTTATACTGAACTTCAAATTCAGATTGTAACCGTCATTTTTGAAAGCAAATTTATAGACTCGATTGCACTATATTGAAAATTGCACTAAAAGCTGTCTCTAAGGGGTAGGACGTATAGAGTCAACCTACTTGACACCATTTTTTCAAATAGGTATAATAAAATCTATTTTTACAGTAAAAACTTCGCTCAGAGATAAGCTTTGTCGCTTGTTGTTTGGCAAGTGAGAGAAGGCCAGAGACGAAAGAGTTTTTAATCCCTCCAAAAATGTTTTTGAAAATGATCGGGATTCTCTGAAACGTCAAATACGAAGTTTTTTGAACGTTTTTTTGAATATCTACATTTACCTGTTTTGATCCGTAAAAGGCAACAACTGCTTTTTGCTCTAAGGAAAAATCATAATTTTATCGCCTTCGGAGGTCGAGGGGGTAAAACCTGTTAGAAAAGGTGTGGAAAAACGGAATCATGCATCCACTATATGGGTTACTATTTTGCCAAGAACTTATGGCGTCATCGCAAACAATGTGATGCAAACCCGGAGAAGGGATCGTCGGGCAAACGATCACAGACTTTAGGACAAACTTTGTTATTGAATAATATAAAGGTAGATAATGAGCTCAAAGCAAAAGCATTTCATCGCATGAGACCTGACAAAGTTTCAAGTTGCAAAAGATGATAATATGTGCGCATGCTTGCTGATATCTGAAACTTCACAGGGAACTACAATTTGTCCAAGTCGTTTCTAGGAAAATGGGAGAAGTGGCTTGACTTCTAATGGAATTAGATTTGTCTGTGATTACCCTATTGATTGCTATAAAAACACATAGATATGACATACTTGTGAAAGCAACTAAGTTAACATCAGGATATGATGATGAAAGCCAAGCTTATAGATCCCCGACATATGCTATGAACATGGGTACAACCTTGAAAAAATGTTGCGGTGTGGCTCTTTTACACGTTTTGAAAAAAATCTGAGTCACTGCCAACAGTAGATAATGCAAACATTGGTTCCATTAGCTAGTGATCTTAAACTATTGAAGGATTATCTTATGAAAGTAGCTGCAAATCAGGTGTCAGTGCTACAAAAAGTTCAGGTAATGAAAAAGCATGCACGTCTTGACTGGAGACAGTTTAATGTAGGATGCTTTCATTAAAGAGGAGGCGGCCTGGAAAACTACAACGACTTCCCATAAATGTTTACAAATCCGCTATATCTGACGAACACAATCAAGCCTATAAGGAGTTTTCGGAAGCAATAACGGAAACCGAGAGAATTCTAATGAGATCTAACAAACGAATGGAAATTCGTGGAAAAAGAGGCAGAGGTGTTCCAGTTCTTATAAGCAAGGATGTACATGAGCACTTGAATCTAAAACTAGAGTGTAAAGATAATATTCAGACGGTGTCGAACATAAATCTTTTCGGTAAACCCAATTCATAAGAACCTATCATCGGTTACAAATCCGCATGCCCTGACTAGCACCCGTCTGAGAAAGGTCATAGCAACTTTGACCCAATTGTTAAACATGTCAGAAAATGACGTGGAACAACTCGCATCTTTTATGGGACATACACTAGGTATCCACCGTGCATGATACCGATTACCAGATGATGTCTACCAAACGGCTAGACTCTCCAAGATTTTGACGTTGATAGACAAGGGCGAGGCAGGTCATTTCAAAGAAAAATCCCTAGAAAAAATTGAATTGAATCTGGACGAGAATTTGATATCAGAAGCGCAGCAGGATAATGACCACCCAGAGCCTCTATATCAATATGAAGAAATCCAAGAACCGCATCCAGATTCGGAATCTCAACAAGTGGATGAAACGTTACCGAAGAAAAAGACCGGTTCTTGTTCCTTGGACTGAAGATCAGAAAACTGACAAGGAAGTATTCTAAAGTATTTTCATGTTATATGACATGTAGATCACTCATTTCCGTCAGTCTGTCCGCCGCTCTGCTGCTGTGTCGAGTCCTTGATTACTTGAGGGGGAAGGTTACCACTAGACCAGGGACAGAAAAGCTACCTATATAGTTTTTAAGAGCGTTCCAGTGCCGGCGGAGAAAAAGTTAAAAACAAAAAAAGAAATCTCATAAACTTCGTTTTTTATTGTTTCAGATACTGACCATTTTTGAGAAAAAAATTTGTGGTGGAAAATTAGCGAGTTGGAGGTTGTAGAGGGTGGGACGGGTATATCTCTTTTTTATTTAGTTTAATGATACACTTCCATCCCTAGTAATTCTTCGCAATCTATTTGACACATTCTAAACATCATAGATTCCCCTCACATAGCAACGTTTTGATGGAAAAGATGTTATAGTTATTAATTGGAAAGTCGAAAAATCAAAAAATTTGAAAGTTGAAAAATATTAAAATTGTAAAATTACAAAATTAAAATATCGGATTGGCTACACAACTCCACCCAATCCAAATTTTTCAATGGGTACTTGAGTAGAATAATAGTAATATATTTACCTCAGCCTCTTCACTAGTGTGGGGACTATAATCTTCATCTTCTGCATCAGAAATTACAGAAGATGATGGTGGTGTGCAGCATATATTAGGCGAAGTAAGAGATATGAACTGAAATGAATGACATATATCAGACATGTTTCATAAAGAATACATAATATTGCTTTACCGAGCTAGATTCACTTTGGTGGTCTGGATCTTCCACTATGCTCTCGTTATTCGAGGTAACGTTGTACTGAAAAAGGTTCAATAGAATAAAAAAGTTCACAGACTAGGCAGTGAATGATTATTACCTCAGAGTCCTTGCACAAGTTACTGCAATGAACATTTTCTGATAAACCGGATATTGATGATGATGGGGGTGTACAGCATATCTTGGGGGATGTAGAAGATATTACCTAGAATAAATCATAAATATGGGAACTCTACCAAAAAAAACATACTTATGTTTTACCGAGTTGCAGTCACTGTGGTCGCTGTTTTGTTTAACCACAGATGACACCTTACGTGAATCAGTAATCACTGTTTCAGAAGTCTTATCTTTTTCTTCATCTCTTGGATGCTGTGTGATAGGTGATAGACCTCTGTTACAAAACCAATTTTTGCTCATATTGAAAGGCTTTCCCTGGAAAAGTTCAAATATATTGTTTTGTAATTATTCCGTTTCAACTTAGAGAAATAATACCATTCCAAAAAATAATAGATATACAATATCGACTATCTTCAGGAAGAATACAACATGCTTGTTTTTAGTGAAAAGATATTTGATAAGAGTGCTCTCAAAAATGTCAAAAAGCCAATTATATTAGAGTAATTTTTGTCATTAGCTTTTTTCCCAATGAACTGACATCCACAAGCCATTTTTTTCCGTGCAGCAATAGTATATGTTGATTGTCAAAGTAAAATACTTTATTTTTAATTGATTCTAGTAGCAATACCAGTGAATGATGTTCGAAATTTTACCAAACTCAATAATACGTAATGTGTTATCATTAAACACTATATCCATGCATTAACACTAGAAATTTTTGAGTGTACAGATACAGGAAATAGGTATGATTTCCTGTTTTCTACGCAAATGTTTGATAAAGTCAGATATGTCAAATAGATCCGATAGAAAACCTTAGGAAATTACGATTCACTCCCTCATCAACTCCTAACCCTCAAAATTTATTTGGATAATGATCAAGAGCCCCTGAATCGTCAAAAAACAAAGTTTGAGCGATTTCTATTTTTTCGTTTGTGGCCCTTTTCTCTGACGCCACTGGACCTATTTTTAAAAGCTAAAGCTTTCTTGTCCATAGCCTCGTAGCAACCTTGTGTCTAAATTTCATCAAAGTCCCAATGGTACTTTCCACGTTATAGCAGAAATGAGTATCATGGTTTTCCGTGATCTACATGTCATATAGCATCCAACAAAACATAATACCTCACTTTCAAAATATCTTGCGATTACAATACTTCCTCGACCGTTGACGTGGGAAGTAAAACATGATATCTCTGATTTGCAATTTTAGATTTAGAATTTTATCACCCCGCTACTGTACCATATAGGAAATAATCAACACAATCTCCCGTTTAAAATTATCATTGTCTACATATAAAGTCGAGCTACTTGACACCGTGAGTCAAAAGCACAGTCTGTAGTGATTTTGTATTATAATGCAAAAAACGGAATCAGTACATATACAGGTATGTACCCTAAAAAAGATGTAAAGCAGCAGCTAGAAAAAAGCCAAAATGAGCTTTGATTGAAGTATTCTATTTTTAAATTTTCAGTGATGTATGGTCACACTCAATCTACTTGACCCTGTTCTTTAACTTGAAAAAAAAAACATTGTAGCTTTACATTCAAGAATCACCTATACAAAACTAAACCAACAAGATTAGATAAAGTTTGGCGTAAAATTTATGGGGGTTGACCTTTTGAACAGCATTGTTTTATCCTTCACGCTACTCAATATTCATTGCTTTTCCATTAAATGTAAGTAATACAGTCATATTACCATCATATCCTATTAACGATTGCATAAGAGTTCAAAAAGTCATACTTACCTCAACAGTCCTTTCAGACACACTCTTGAATACACAACAGATTTGAACGTCCTTCCAGCACGATTGGTGCCAATAAAATGAATTCTCAGATCTTAGACAAACCGACAAACCCTATCCCCGGGCGCACGCGCTTTATTGACTGGAATTAAAATGATCGGGAGACCGATCTGACGTCAGACGTACGCCATTCAGCTAGTTCGGGTATTGTGGAGGACTCAGCACTGGTTTGCGTATTGAAGAGTATTCTTCATGGGAGATTGATCCACCAGTGTTTAGTTAATTCGAGTATTTTGGGAGACTCAGTGCTGGTTTCTTGTGAATCGTATGGTAGAAGAGTATTCTGCATGGAAGACCGATCTAGCAGTGTTTAGTAAATTCAAGTATTTTGGGAGACTCAGTGCTGGTTTCTTGTGAATCGTAGGGTAGAAGTGTATTTATTCTGCACGGAAGACCGATCTAGCAGGGTTTAGTAAATTCAAGTATTTTGGGAGACTCAGTGCTGTTTTTTTGTGAATCCGAAGGTATTTTGATGGACGATTGTATCATATGGCTTTTGGTTGGCGTGACTATATGGTTAAGTCTGAGCTATTAGAGAAAATCGTTGATATACGATTTTATTTCAAGATTAGGAATATTCTCATAGATAGATGGTACCAAACATGAATGGTGATTTCCTTATCCAAAGATAACGTCACATGATTGTAAGGCTCAGTATAGTGATTAGGTAATTCAAGTATTTTAGGATACTCAATGCTGTTTTTTGCGAACCGGAGGGCAGGGAAGTATTTCAACTGCTAATATCACAGATTTGGAAATTACGCGTCTAAAGCTTATCATCATTAGGATGTCGTCGATACGACATAGGCTATTGGAAAAGCAAAGTGCTCGATCTGAAAGTTCATACAACCTCCTGGACATGTAATAGAAAAAAGTATTCTTGATTGTGTGGGCTGCTCGATGATCTGATAATTTTTGCATAGGTAAGTTATAATTTACGAAACGTTGGGCATCCTTCTGTCGTATGCTAGCAACGTTTTGTATAGTCTTAATCGAGCAAATAGTGTACTCAAAGTTGCTGGAAAGAATTTTGGTTATATCCATTGGAGATCCTTGAAAAATAATATAATAATACAAGTCCAAGTTAGGAGACTTCAGTAGTATTATGTAAAGAGAAATAAATGAAACTTGGCACCACTGCACGGATGACTTATCTACTGGTGTTTAGTTAATTTGAGTATTCTGGGGGACCGAATGCCGTTTTGTGATCTGAAGGGTATTCCGGTAGAGGACACATCTTACGGTTTTTAAAAGGTAGACCTATATAGCGGACTTTATATGAAAATCCGAAATGTTAATGTACAGTTTTTTGAGCTGATCCTGGATCAGTTTGCCTTTTTGTTGGATATACACGAATCAAATTTGATATATATTCGATATTTCTGGTAGGTGACTTATTGCTGGGAATTGAAAGGATTACCGATCCACATGGAGATGTAAATATATATATATATATATATATATATATATATATTGCAAAATGTAACAAATCAGGGAACATGGAATGATTATCGAGACCCCAAATAAGTTTTAATATAATCACATAGCTCATTTTCATATCTTCATTCATAAAAATACACTAAGTATCAGCTGAAATGTATATATCGAGCAGTTTATCACTTTTGATATAATTTTTATGTGTTACAATGAAAACATATTGGGTACACACATATTAAATAGAAGTTAAATTACTGATACCGAGATTGATGTTTTTAAAAAAAAACTTTATTTCCAAAATCGGTACAGAGTGACTTCTAGAGAAACCTTGTCACGTAGGTACGTAAAACAAGACGGTCAAACCAAAAGTGACGAGATTTCCTAACATATGAATCTAGCATGGTATACAGGAAATATGATATGATAAAGAAAACGATGTTAACATGAGAACTAGCAAGGCGCGAGATAACATTCTTGAGCGCCGCGTCATTGCTCGTGAGAAATCAAGTGCCTACTAAGTAAATTATAATTTTATATAATGTACAGGGTGAGCATGGACATAACTCCTCCCTCCTTAAACTCTTAGAACGTCCTCGTTCTTATCAGACTCAACTTCATTTTTCTTTTGAGATAATTTTTGCCTTTTACACAAACGTGATTTTAATACAAGTATAATTAATATCGTAACGACTATCCCTATTATAAGAGAACTATTGACATGAGAATGATAGTTGTTAAACTTAACTGGTGCAACCTCTTTCATTTTATCTAAATTTTCCTTGATATCAGAAAAATCGTTACTAGTAATATGGAAAGTATCTATCGTGTGTGTTGGCTTTAATGTAAAGTCAGAAATATTGAAATCCAAGGGCTCTGTTGGAATAACAGTGCTATGAAGAACATATGATACATCATTTATAACCAGTGTGCAGTTACTACTTAAAATATAATTACCAATTAGATTAAAAGGCTTGATTTCGCCATCGCATTTTTCGAAAACAGTGATTCTGATGTTGCTAGAAAATAATACTGCCTCATCACTCTCGAGCAAATATGTTAAGCTTAAAAAGTTTTTAGCCTGTACAATGCTACATTGATCAATTGATCGAGGCGTACATTTTTGATTAGTCGAAGTTTCACAAATAAATCGATTCATGGATCTTTTACATTGCTTAGGACAACTTTTAATCGATACATCGTTATACAAAAAATATTCATGTTGGAATAGTACTAACATGGTGTTACTGTTTAACAAGGGATATAACTTTGATAACTTATATTTGGTAGATTCCAAGATAGGTAACTCGACTGCGCATAAAATTATTTCATCTGTATAAATAATACTACTTCTACTCAGGCTAAGTACTTCGAAAGGATGAGTTTCATCTAAGAGAACCAAATTTTTCTTAGAATAAACAGATTTGAGATATTCTTCAATATGAATCAGTTCCTTAACATTAAAATTAGCTACATTGGTCATATGTTTCTGTGATAGGGATATTGTGCTTTGGATCAGTCCGAGGTAATCAGAGATTTCTCGTAGAGAAATAAGTAGTCTAAAAATTAAAGTTTCATACTCGTATTCATAAATTGCTTTCTTGACAGTTTCTGATAGCGATTGTACATTATTTTGAATGAGTTTCATGTTTCTCTCAAATTTTTGTGAAATGAGCTGAGCGAATGCTTTTTGATTGTTAATAGCCACTATGAGTTCGTTCTCTTTGTCTCTTAATGATATAAATTTATCGTTGATTTCTGTAAGATCGTCCTGATCTAAGTTACCCGTCACATACCTTATAATGCTTCCCAATCCGTTAATAATAGCTCGACGTTTCCTACTATATGAATGGTAAGGCGATAATTTTGAATATTCTGCTTTTACGTTAATGATATTTTTATACAAGTCCTCTAGTACCGGTTTAAGATTTGTATCGTCAGAATAGTTTATTAAGGCTCTATAACTAACTTCTACCTTATTAATAACATCAGCTATTAAGCTGAGATTATGACTAAAAATAAACGTATGATAATGGCTTATCAGTTTCGCATCACCTATTGGTTCCGAATAGAAACCATTATTAGTTGGAACTTGATGAAGCCTCAGCTGTAGACTCTGCGACCACAGAGTTGTCAGTAACAAGATCACACACTGAAAATCCATGAAAGGCGCGGTTTTCTGTCTTCTTCTTTTTCTCTGTTTCGGCTCCACTAGCTTCTACAGTAGACTGGCTGTACTGCTACAGTTGCTGCACACCCTCCTAGTAGTGCCGGACTTACTACTAACTTTTTGGGAGTTCTGGAACTTCAGGCCGTGGCCCAGTGCTAATGGTCCTCAGTACCTTCACTCGGTTGCTTATTACTGGCTAGGATCCCTCCAAGAACATTGAAAGTTCGCGTGCCTTTTCGTTTAACTGGTGATTTCGGCTTGCCGATAATCTGCTCGATTGCCTCGAATTCGGACGCCGAAGGAACACGTTTCACGTTTCGCGACACGCTGAGGGATCCCGGTTGAGCCCCCAGTTAAATTACTGATACCGAGATTGATGTTTTTAAAAAAAAACTTTATTTCCAAAATCGGTACAGAGTGACTTCTAGAGAAACCTTGTCACGTAGGTACGTAAAACAAGACGGTCAAACCAAAAGTGACGAGATTTCCTAACATATGAATCTAGCATGGTATACAAGAAATATGATATGATGAAGAAAACGATGTTAACATGAGAACTAGCAAGGCGCGAGATAACATTCTTGAGCGCCGCGTCATTGCTCGTGAGAAATCAAGTGCCTACTAAGTAAATTATAATTTTATATAATGTACAGGGTGAGCATGGACATAACTTAGACATATAATAATTATAACCAAAATAGTAGCAGTCATATAAGAACAAAGTTTTGAATATAAGACAAACCTAGGCTATCTAAAAACTAAAACAAACGTTATTAATCCTCTTACCACCTATTAAACTGTAAACCAATCATTCTGTATGTTGCAGTATTATGTATTACAGGATATAGAATAAGTGATAAACTTCTCTCACCTCTTTCTTTTTTTCTTATCAAGCATATGTTCTTGTACTCCAGCAGTTTTAGCAGCACTATCACTTTCTGATGCTGATAATGTTGAGGAAGTATGGACATATTGCCTACAAAGAAGAAAATTAATTCCTATGTAACAGTATAAAAGCACAAATGTTTAATAAGCCTTACTCTTCATTTGATGAGCCAGGAAAGTTATACATCTCTTCATCCATGAATAACCTGTAAACAACAAATAAATAAGTGCTATGAAAAGAATACTGCTGATTAGGACTGATCAAACATTTAGTAAGGGTTATATTAAGGCATATATCAAACTGAATGAGTTTCAACTTCATCATCTTTTTTATGGTACAGATTGAGGTAAGCTCTATTTAAATCATTACAAAACCCTAGATAATTTCCTGAATACCTTCTTGTTGTACTTGAACCTACAATGGTGGTATTTTTTCCATCTACGATATCAATTCAGCAAATATAAAATGCTTCCATATGGATGTAGGACTTCAGAAATGTTCAATTTCATAGAAATTTCAATATACTACAAAATAACATGATAGAGAATATAAATTAAACTTACCTTTTTTTAGCAGGAGTCCCCTCACAAGTGATTGAAATGGCAGATATATATACAATCCGAGTCTTCTTGCTTCTCTGGACTTACAGATGATTCTGAACTAGAATAAAGCATATATATATATATACAAAACCAAATTAGGGACTTCTACATAGTGAGATACTAATGCATAGAAATACTTCATGAAATTAAACACTAAATAATAGTATGAGTTATAAAAATCAATGCACATATATAAAAAATACACAAAAAATCAAAAGGAACTATAGTTTTAAGCAAAGTATGAGCAACTCAGTTTAATGCATTGTGATTTAAACAAACCAAATCAATCAAATGTACTGTCACTGTTTTCATAGCAATGTAATGTAAGATATAAGCATCATCTTCATTTCAGCTCATAAGATGCAGATATTATGTTAGCTCTTCTTGATTGCTGATAGATTATAGAGTATGTCTTATATCTGTCTATTATCTGTGAAATTGCCAAAATATAACACTAATTATAGCTAAATTTACCTAAATCCATAACAGTTAAGTTAGGAAATACCCAGATCAGAAACATCTTATATGAAAAGTTAAACAGCAGATAGAATCAGAATCAAAATGAGTGGTTGTTAAATATTATTAAATACAACTATTCTTTTTTGTTTACTGTATTAGAAAAACTAGTCTATTATGTATTAAGAGTTTACCTCGTGCTTACTGCAGGATCAAACAAAGAATGAGAGATGAGAGGAATCGCATCCCGCTTGAGTGTCTTTTGTCCCTCACTTCCATAAACAAACGCATTTTCTCCAAAATGCTTGGAACATAGCTCCACCCTCTTAGGAAATTGATGGTTTTCCTCGAATCCAAGGGCCGACAGCCACCTTTTTCTCCTTTCCGGGTTCTTGGGAAGGCTAGAATTTCGAATATTACAGTTATAAATCGAAAGCTATCAACAAGTTTCTCGATAATGAGACGCCATGATACGCCTCTGAACATAAACAAGATGTATACTTACGAATGAAATTTTAAAGATTCCGCTCCAGCCTGATGTTTATAAATTTTACACAAATAGCACTGCTGCACCATTTTATTGCGATTGAATATACCTTTAGGCCGTTTGCACACACACCGACAAAATCGGTGCCGGTGCCGGTACCGTTTCCTGTGCCGGAAAACATTTAATTTCACACATACCGGCGTTTCCGTGCCGTCAATTTTATTCGGTGTTTGGCAGTGGTAAAAGAAAGATGTTGTATGTTTCTGCTTCTAATAAACGTTATCTCCTTGGGTTATTGTATCTCAGGAGGAAGTATCGACAAGCTAAAAAAGTAAGACAACATTGGGTGCATCCTCTGCTGACTGTCAGATACTTAGAATTTAGCTTCTACACGCTTTTTGAGAAACTTAGGAAAGACAACTCGAAATTCTTCAATTACTTCAGAATGAGTATTGATACTTTCGATTTCATAGTGGAACGATTATTAAACAGTATCAAACATCAAAATACTCCAATGAGAGCATGTATCCCTCCAAAGGAAATGGTCGCAGTAACAATAAGGTGAGTAAATATAAATAAATACACATCTTATTGTTTTTAATGTTTATTTGTTAACAAGTTTATAGGTTAGAGGTCTTGAAAAAAGGTTATAGTGGGTTCAGATAAAGTTGAACTGGGATTATTATAGGTAGGCTGGGCTAGATTACCAGGTAAACACTGCTGTTGACTCTGTTGAAAATCATGAGCATGTTGACTATTACTGGAATTATTGGAAAGTGGAAATGTATTGTGTGAAAATGGCGTTGATGATCGAGAGGTTGATGTAGATGTGTGACTGGCAAATGCTGGCGATTGCATTTTGTTACGCATGTTAATATTTTTTATTAATTGAAGTACATTCATGCGGAATTCCAGCTCATCATCTTCTGACATTTTTCGTACTGATGGAGTAATTGACAGAAAGAATGCCTCATCCTCGTCAGGTGGCTTTTCTAGGGCTGTTAAAATTCTCTTATCTACATCTTCTTGCAAGCGAGGTTTTTTTGATGTGTTCCTGTTTCCTGCAGGCGTAGGGTTGATATTTTTTTGGAGTTGCACTTGTACTTCAGACTCCCTCTCGGCTTCGTTTTGGGTTTCTTTCAACAGAGAATGCTCGTTATCCTGGGTGTCATCAATACTTGACTGCGTGTCGTCTGATTGTACCACTTTCAGCAAGAATGTTAGGTTATCATGGTACATATATTTTTTTGTAGTGGCTTGTCCAGATTTTTTCTTCAATGACTTCACAAAAGAGTCACGGATATTTTGCCATTTCCCACGAATTGCTTCACCTATAAGTAAAATTAAAAATCATAGAAGCGTACAATAAAATTATGCAAAACTAAAATTTTTAGATTTATTTTTTAGTTCGCGATATATTGATAAAAGTGCTTTTTAAATTTCAGGTACCTTGCTTCTGGAGCAACATTTACTGATATGCACTACTACTATAGAATCGGAATAAGCACAATAAGTAAAACTGTTCGTTTGGTATGCAACTCTTTATGGAACTTATTAAAAGACGAATTTCTCCCGCAGCCTACGGAGGAAACATGGCAACGTATAGCAGATAACTTCAAAAAATCCGCACAGTTCCCCAATTGCTTAGGCGCTATCGACGGAAAACACATACGAGTTAACAGATTTCCCCATAGTGGTTCAATGAACCTTAACTACAAGGGTTATTTTTCCATTATTCTTATGGCCGTGGTTGATTCTGATTATAAATTCATATATGTAGATATAGGAGCTTATGGTAAAGACTGCGACTCATCTGTATTTCAACAAACAGTATTTTTTAAATTAATGATGGAAAACAAGTTACATATCCCACCACCCTGTCCATTAGAAGCAACTGGAAAAGATACTTTTCCTTATGTGTTTGTAGGGGACGAAGCATTTGGGCTATCAGAAAACCTAATGCGACCTTACGCTGGACATAATCTTACTGAGAAAAAAAGAATATTCAATTACCGATTAACTCGGGCAAGAAGGTACGTTGAATGTGCTTTCGGTATACTTTCCAATAAGTGGAGAATTCTACACAGAGCATTAAACGTATCAAAACAATTATCTAAAGACATTGTTAAAGCATGTGTAGTTTTACATAATGTGGTGCGAATAAGGGATGCCGACAATTTAGAAATGTATGTAAGCCAGCAAAAGCTACCAAATGTGCAAATAGCTCCTTGTACTAGGCCAACAAAAAATGCAAATTATTTGAGAGATTGTCTCGCAGATTATTTTGTAACTACTGAAGGGATGTTGCCGTGGCAAATGGACAAAATATAATAACTATATTAATTGTGTATTGCTATTGCTCAATATATATGTATATTGACTTACCTATTTTGTGTTGTTCCTTTTTGTCCTTTTCTAGGAAATCTTCTTCAAAAAACGCACACACGTCCTTCCACGCTTTTTCTTTTTCAATCTTATCCTTGAAGCAATCTGCAGTTTTATCCCACAAACAAGGTTTATTTTCTATTGCTTCGATTAAAGTCACAACATCATACTTGAAAATTCTACTCATTGTCAGTACAAAAAAGTTGAAAGGTACAATGAATATCCAACAGCAAACGACCCTATGTATGCACTTCCTACGAGGTTAGCGATATACTAAGAACTTAGATGCATAAATATCCCCGGCACCGGAACGCGTGAGCCTGTGTGGACAAGTATAGATTGTAGAACAGTGGAATCGGCAAATCGGAAGCCGGTGCGTGGTCCGATTGTCGAGTTCACCACCGACTGCATGAATCGGAATCGGTGACCGGACCGACAAATAAACCGGGCCGGGCTACGTGTGAAAATATTAATTTTATTACATTGCATTCGATGTCGGCATCGTTACCGGCACCGATTTTGTCGGTGTGTGTGTGCAAACGGCCTTATAGTCTCTCTAAAATGAATAAAAGCAGCAAGGAAATTCACTATCAAAACAAACTTTGACAATTGACACAAAATGACAGTTGTTTAGTAACTTAAATAAGTGCTACCAATATACTATTTTCCTACGATGTGGATAAATTATGAATGAGCAGATAAAAGCAACGTTGCCAGATCTTCAAGTCGATTATGGTATAATTTATGTAAGGTTCTTACTTGTTTGACAATTTTGATATCAATCCATTGTACCAGAATCATGATGTTTAGTACCCACACATGCGCTGAAAAATCACCATAAACAGGGAGTAATTTTAGTTACTGGAGGTTTGAAAATGTGTAGAACGACCACGAACAAATCCGTTGTTTTGCTGCCGTTTCTTGTGGCGAGGCAACGTGTCGATTCGCTTTGTATATGTCGTCAACAGCCAGAAATGTAAGCAAAGGGGTCTATCCTCGTTTTAAAGTCGATGGCAGCAACCCTTAAGCGGGAATTACATTACGAAACTAGTGGTATGAAACTAGTGTCATGACATTAATTTCACCAACATTTCATGTGCAAGTAGTTTCGTAGTGTCGTGAAATCGACAGTATCGCTGTGATCATGGCGCCGTCAGCATCGAAGCTGTATTTTGCAGTTCAAGATGTTGTCATACAGATGTTGATATATAAACTGAAAAAGAGGATGGCTCGAAAGAAAAAGCGTTGGTGGGTTAGAGGATGGGTAGCAAGGAGACATCTGGGTGCAGTACAGTTAATTTCCGAATTAGCAGATGAAGATCCTGAGAGCTATACAAACTATTTTCGAATGAGTGAAGATTGCTTCAACTTTTTATTGGATAAAGTATCTGACAAAATCACTAAGCAGGATACGACATGTCGAGCAGCATTGACACCAAAAATAAAACTTCAAATTACGCTGCGATTTCTAGCAACTGGGAATAGTTTGAAGTCATTGTCATACGAATTTAGAGTGGCACCATGTAGTATATCAAAATTTCTACCTGATGTGCTAATCGCAATCTATGAAGCATTAAAAGACTACATTCAGGTAAGCAAAACATTTTTATTTAATACAGTTGAAAAGTTAGATACTCAAATCTAAAAATACTCATCAAAGTCCAATTCTCTCTCCGTTATGCTGGCAATAGCTTGAGAAAGTACATCGTTATTGTAACCAGTGGGATTTGCATCTTCTTTATCGTTATTGATGGCACTACTGGCAGAAGCCGTGGACTTTGGTCTTGGTGGCGATGAATTGCGTTGAGATAACGACTGTTGCTTCAAAGAACTGATTCGTTGCCTTCTTATTGTTGATAAAATTATCTCCTCTGTTTCTAAAGCAATTTCCAGAGGAAGCTGTCGTAGCTGTTGAGCTACGGTTTGCCCAAACAGTGCAAACTCATCATTGCCTGCATTAGGCACGTGTTGCGAGGAAATCTGTTCCAATGTATGTACCGCTTTAAGTAGCGGATCTGCAATTTTCCTTTTGTTTCTTGTAGGTGTGCGTGGTATGGTAAACTCATCATTACTGGATCCTGAAGCTGAACCCTGTGAAGCAGTGTTGGGTGTCTAAAACAATAATTAAATTTTGAATTTTCTTTACAGGTACCAAACACAGAAGAATGTTGGAGGGAGATAATGGATGGCTTCAATGATAAATGTAATTTTCCAATGTGTGGTGGTGCAATCGATGGCAAACATGTTCAAATCCGATGTCCAGCACATTCTGGAAGTGACTATTATAATTATAAGGGCACATTCAGTATTGTCCTCCTAGCAGTTTGCGACAGTGAATTAAAATTCAGGTATATCAATGTGGGCCACTATGGTCGAGCTTCTGATGGAGGAGTATTTGCCAGATCAAATTTTAAAAAAAGTTGGAGGAAATGTCTTTGAACGCCCCTGAAGGAATGGTTTTATTGGGGGACCAGGCGTTTCCTCTCACTGACTATCTTATGACACCATATAGTCGTCGACTAAATTTATCGAAAAAACAAAAAATTTTCAACTACCGACTATGCAGAGCTCGCCGGACTGTAGAGAATGCCTTCGGAGTGTTGGTTAGCAAATTTCGTATACTTGAAAAGCCTATTGCTCTACTCCCAGAAACTGTGGACAAAATTATAAAGACATGTTGTGTCTTGCATAACTGGCTGAAGACCCGATCATCAACCTACATTGAGCCAGGACTGATTGATGAAGAAAACTCAGAAACAGGAGACTTAGTGGAAGGATCATGGCGTACTATAGCACAGAACTCATTTAGGCCACTGGGTAATTTCAGTGGAAACCATTCGAGAAATGCTCACCGGATACGCGAGCATTATACTGACTACTTTGTTGGGCAAGGGCGTTTAGAATGGCAAGATAGGATGATTTATTAAATGCAAAATCATATTGGAAGCTGATAATAAAAAACTTACCAAATTTTCTGTGTTTTCTCTGGCATAACCATCAGTATTTTTTAAAAAATCCATATGAGGGATCCATGGTATTTTAGAGATATACTGTTCATCGGTTGCCATACCAGTAGTATTAGATTTTTTTGTCTTCATTACTTCATTGTTGTAAGTATTACGAAGTGTTCGTATTTTGCAAATTACATCTTTTACACTTTCCATCTGCATAACCTCCATAATTGCTTTGTACCCCGCGTCTCGGGCATCTCTATTTTTGTAGCCAGGGTGTTTTGGATCCCAAAGACACTCGTTTCGCTGGTATTCATTAATGAACTGTATATTTTTATCGGCTGTCCAGCGTTGATTCGCCATTTGTAACGAATATTTCACGATTTCACAATCTGCACGTGCACGGCCACAAAACACACATCCACTCTGAAGCGCTGTCGTGACACTAGTTTCGCACATTCGCGTCACGTTTACATCGTGAAACTGGTGGCATAACACTAGTGTCGTTCAAAAATTGCGCGCCGCACGAAAGTAAATCGGTGTCATGAAAGTAATGCACGCATTGTGAAACTTAACATTTACACGTGAAACTATTGATGAAACTACTGTCATGACACTAGTTTCATACCACTAGTTTCGTAATGTAATTCCCGCTTAACCCTACGGAGGGTTCAAATGGATAGATGATGTAACATCGTTTGATGTGATGTCAATACCCGACGACTCTGACGTAGGGTACGTGCTACAAGTCGATCTATCGTACCCACAAGAACTGCACGATAAACACAAAGATTTTCCGTTTGCGGCAGAACGTAGCGTACCACCCAGCGACGGCGGGGTAAAATTGCCGAAATTAATGACAACACTTACGGATAAAAAAGAGTACACGGTTCACTATAAAAATTTAAAACAAATGCTAGCTAATGCATTAAAGTTAACGAAAATCCATAAAATTTTACAATTTAAACAAGCAGCCTGGCTGAAACCCTACATCGAGTTGAATACTCGATGTAGGGCTGCAGCTCGGAATGATTTCGAAAAAAATCTTTTTAAATTAATGAATAATGCAGTATTCGGTAAGACCATGGAAAATATACGTAAGCACCGCGTATGTAAAATCGTTAAATCTTGGGGTGGTCGCTATGGGGCAGCAAACTTGATTTCGAGTTTTCGGTTCCACAGTCGCACAATTTTAGAGGAAAATCTGGTGGTTATCGAATTGAAAAAGGCTGAAATAACGTTTAACAAACCTCTGTATGTAGGGCAGGCAATTCTAGACCTATCGAAACTAGTCATGTATGATTTTCATTACACTTATATGCTACCAAAAATGGGTGCAGAAAGGTGTAAGCTCATGTACATAGACACAGACAGTTTTATCTACGAATTGCAATGTGAGGATGCATATGAGGAGATCATTAAGGCTGATTCCAGTAAATTTGATACTTCGGATTATCCTGAAAATAAAATATATAAAATACTGCGTAAGAACGAAAAGGTGCCGGGTCTAATGAAAGATGAAAATAACGGTAAAATTATGACACATTTTGTTGGACTTCGAAGCAAAATGTATAGTTACAGGGTGCAGGGTGGGAAGGTGGTTAAAAAATCTAAAGGGGTTAAGTACAATGTTATTAAAAATAAAATTGCATTTGATGATTATGTTGAGTGTTTGAAAGAATTTAAGGAAAAAACAGCTACACAACGCTGTATCAGGTCGTATGCACACAACGTATATTCTGTTGAACAGACAAAAATTAGTTTAAGTCCGTATGACGACAAACGTTATTTAATTCCGAACAGTTTTGACACACTTCCGTGGGGGCATTACAGTATCTTATAATAGCGTTTTTTTCTTTTTTGTTATAGATGAATGCCCCAACATTATCAGAGTTAGCTGTTAGAAAAATTTGCGAATCAATAACATCATCAGCAGTAGAATTCATGGAGCAGTCTCCACTACCATGGAAATTAACTACGGAAATTGTGAAACAATTTCCTTTATATAAATGGCACGCTATGATTAAAGAAGCCAAAAATGATCTTGATTCTTCATATACAGGAATTAACTTCATTAGATGTCACAAAGAAATAGATCCAAATTTAATTCATACTATATTAGGAAAATCAGATTGGGGTTATGTTTTTGAAGATTATTCTAGTTACTGTCTATGGTCAAGTGGATATTGGCTGGACCAATATTACCTACACGTATGTAAAAATTGTTTATCTAAATTTAAAGAAATACATAAAACTTTAAATAAACGTTTATTTGCCTGCTATGACCATTCTCACGAGGTTCACGATGCACATGACATTATTTTGAACGTATACCAAAAAAAGTATAATTGGTGTCACAGCTGCTTTAAAAGCGAGATGCCTTACATGATATGTCTAGAAATAACATCCGAATCCGATTTGATGAATCTGATGTAGACAGCGATATTGAGTTTTAAAAAAAAACATCACAGCAAACAAATTACAAAAAAATATATAAAAAGCGTTCATTCGTCCTCCCGCCCCCCAGTTTCTCTCTATCTATTGTACTAACATTTATATATACAGGGTGACTTTGAAGTTGAGTCATTAATTTTCAGATAATGATTGTAGAAGGAAGATAAACCAAAATATGTGTGTAAAAATAAAAAAAAAATAAAAAAAAAAATGTTACCTTGTTTAATAAAGTATCCTCCCGACAAGTATTTCAGTGCGGACCTGTATTTGATCGTGCGGTCTTGGAGCAGCATGCCCTCACCTGTGAGGTCTTAAGTCACCTGATTCACGAGCCCTTTGTACTACATTAACAAAGGCACGAGGGGTTGGTTGCACTCGATTGGGAAACCGATTCGCGTAAATCCGTGATGCA